CCAAAATCAGGCTAAGAAAAACAGCACCACAACCACGCCCAATAGCCAAAAAAAACGACGAAGAAAAATAACGGATCTCGACACGATGCTGTAGGCTATCGCAATTCGCAGGTCTGTCGGCTATCGCAGGGGAGCGTCGCCGCTGCTCACAGGTCTCCGACGACAACGCGGTGAAGGACGAGAGAGAGAGAGAGTGAGAGAGAGAGAGAGAGAGAGAGAGAGAGAGAAGAGCGAGGAGGGAGAGAGGAGAGAGACGGGGGCGATTCAGAGATGGAGATGAATGAGGGACGGGATTGGAAATTTGGGTTTTAATTATTAATTGAATTAAGACCTGATTTTTGATTAAACAAACATTACACCTGATTTTTGAATTTGGAAACTTAAATGCAGGGTACCAGGTTATTTTCTCTATATATTTCTCTTAAAGCAACATGTTTGTTAATAATCGATTCAATGACAAAATCAACCTTAACTAGCCCGAAGTCCCAAATACGAGCCGACCGATATGTGAACTTGTGTGCCCCGCATTGCATAATAAATTTTTTTAGTTTGTAAACTAACAATCAATTAGTTTGTAAAATTCAACCACGGCGCATGTTTGATGGCCATTATTTTTAGAAAATGGAGTTTGGAATTGTGATTTTTAGGAGGATATGTGGTTAAAAAGTAAGAAAAAATTTTGAGTTTACGTGTAAAATATTTTATTGCGTAAATGTGAGGTTGCAAATGCGTATGCAAATTAAAGAGTTTTGAAATAATGATTGTCAAACATGGGCTTAATTTTGTAGTTTTCAGATTTATTTTTTGTATAGTCAAGTAAAAAAATAAAAATTGAAAAGTCCACCGGCCGCTAGCTAACTTGACAAAGGCTGGAGTTTTGAATAATTAATTTTGTAGTTTGTAAAATAACGATCACTTTTTCGTATATTTGAGTAAAAAAACAAAAAAAGTCGAAAAGTACATGAGCGGCTTGACTCAAATTAACTCGACAAAGGCTCGAGCCAAAGCCCGAGCCAAGCTCCAGTTTTTGGGGACAAGCCGCCCGGACTTGGCTAGAGCCCAAAATGGGCTCGGCCTTTTTTATGAGCCTAAGTTTGGGTTCGCGAGCCAACTCGACTCATTGTGACCACTGTTTACAACTACCCAATTTACGCTTTCATATTTTAATAGTTTTAAAAAGAAATAGAGCGTAATTAAGCATATGTTTGGCTTCTGTTTATAAACGATTTTATATATATTCAAGTAATTTTTATCCACATATTTTGAAGAATCTGCAGGTACACAAGTAGTCATTTTGGACATAATTCGTCCAAAAGAACGGTTCATTTTGCACTTGAAATGCACTTATTATGGTCCGTTTGATTGTAAGGATAGAAAATGGATGGAAAGGAAACGAATTTCAGGGAAAAGAATTGTCTAGAACTTGTTTTATAGGGAATTGTTAATTAAATGTATTTGATTAGTATAATTTTCCACCCGAAATGTTTTTGAAATTTTAGATCTTTTTGTTCACGTTTGTCTTTATTTTACATGGAAATTGTCAATTAAAGTGAAAAAAATTTTACAATTGGTTATGAAATTTGTTACCATTGCCAAAAAGTAAAAAAGAAAAAAAATTGCTCGAAAACTATTTTTTCATCAAAATTTAGTGTTCGTTTGGTTTCGTTTTACATAAAAATTGTCCATTAAAATAAATTTATTTTTTTACAATTAGTTATTACATTTATTTCCGTTGCCAAAAAAAATGGCCAGAAGCTAGAATTCCTTTTCCCACCAAAAAGTTGGGAAAAGGAATTCCTTGTTTTGTTGGAAAAGGAGCGCGTGGGTGGGAAAATATTTTCTATGTCAAATTTTGTGTATCAAACAAGATATTAGGGTGGAAATGGAATTTTTTTTTCCATTTTCCATGGAAAAAGCACTCTATCAAACACAGCCTTATCCTACATTATTAAAAGAGTGAGTTTTGTTGCCACTATTCACAAGCCGTTTGGCCACCAAAGCCTGGCTAAGTTGGTGGAGCCGCGTTTTAGCCTAGCCGTGTGGATTTGTTTGCCTTTTTTTTTCCCTCATGCAGTCTTGCTTCTAACTTTCTCCATTTCTCAAGTAACATCTCATACATCTTTCCTTCATTCTCTCTCAATCGTTTTCTCTAGATCCTTCTCTCCCCCCATTCTCTCTTTCTCACGATTTCGTCTTCCACAGATTTCTCTCTATCGTCTCTCATTTCCGTCTTCGTTTTTTTTTTTATTGTAGGTTTTGTTGGTGTTTTTGTTGTACCCATCCTCAAATTTCAATTGCAAAGAAAACGCATACCGACAGCCAGCAATTGTGCAAATTGAATCTCAATCCCTCCATTTTCCCTTGAAGTCTTGCACGTTGTACTGTAGAGATCTGATGAATCTAATGAAAGAATGTATGTTAGTATGTATGTATGTATATGCAGGGCCGGCCCTGTGGTGAGGCGAGTGAGGCCGCCGCCTTAGGCCCAAGCTTAGAGGGGGCCTAATTTTTGGCCCAAAAAAAATTTTTTTTTATATGACAAGCCCAAA